GTGAGGAATTGTGAAGTTGCTAAGTAGGGAAGGAGTTGAGGACGGGGGTCACTCAAGCAGGCCTGGTAATTCTTTGTATAGAACCACTAATTTTGCTATAATTTTGAGGTGAGTGCAATTTAGCGCACACGAAAACGTAAATCAAAGCCCAACGCTTGTCTGATTTTTACAATTTTATGGTAGAATGAAAAGCAGGAAATTCTTAGATGGAAAAAGAGAACTTCCATCCAAGTCTTTCAAGATGTAGGCGCAGCACGACACCTTTCGTCTACGTCCAGTGCCAAACTAAGGCCGGTCACCTAACTCCCTGATCACTTCTTAAATTTCCTGTGCGGAAAAATGCGAAGAACACATGAACTCTCGTTCAAGAACATTGAAAAAAGCAAAAGAGTGGGTCAAGTTTGTGACAGAGGGAAATATCTCCGAAGAGATTGACCGATAACCCTTCGCCGCCGGACCACACACTGCAGGCGCTTTCCCACCTATATGAATACCAGCCTAAGGCTGCAGCGTATCACCGTCGGCTTTGCGAAAAGGGAACAACACAGGTAGAATTCCGGCCGTTCCACTGATAATGCGCTCACGGACCTTCAGTGAAAATCGTTCAGTTACTTTCAGAACTCGAAATGGGAGGTTTTGGATATGACTAGTCTACACTATCATATTGATATTTTTCATGGATTCTTCATGAATGGAATAGTCGCACTGTTGGAATAAAACTATGAGCATGTTCGTGGATGATGGATATTGCCGCATATACACGTTCAGTGGAAAACTGTGAATGGTTGCGCTTTCACAACTTAAAGCAGATTATCATTGGGCCCCACTGTTGGATGAATCAATGGAATTTCGTGGAATGGTTGAGGATCATGCCTGATACACGTTCAAGAAAACCGTGATGTTGGAGCTCCCATAATTAGGAGGACATCATCAGAATGGGCAAACTGACGGTGCAACCCCGCGCAGAAATCTTTCGGTGCGGCCCCTTCCGCAGAGGGCACACCATGTTTGAATATTTCCTAACGAGAAAGGGAGGGGGTTTATATTCGACCGCTGAATGAGAAAAAAAGAAACCTTTATGATTATTACAGTAGTTGCCGGAAAGCGCTAATTTAGTTCTCCACAACTGCTTCTCCTATTTTCCCAATGGCCGACTTCTGTTGAATATGGCTTGTATATTATGGACAGTGGCATTCAGTTATATACAAACCTGGGCTAAGTTCGGCGATGGGGGGGGCATTTTGCACTTTCGCTGCTTCACTAGTTCCGGTTTACAAGTCTCACTCTGGTGAAACCTGTGAACTCTGAAGCTGGAGCAAGCTCGTCGAGTCACCATGGTAAAACTTGTCAACCCTTGTTAGCTCATAAAATAGCTCTCTAGATGGCCCGACACGTAGATGGGAAATAGCGAAAGTGCAAAATGCCCGCTCGTTGCGGCTGCGCTCAAACCTGTTGTCGCTGAATGATTCAACAGGAAAGAAAAAAGCTAAAAAGTCATATAGACCACCGTAAATAAGGACTGCCTGGCAGCCTCGCTGTACGTTTTCTCCGGACCTGCTCGTTCTATGCTAGCAAAGCAACTGCCGCCTCAAATGAATTATCAGGGTCACAGCGTCTTCGTTACTCAGCACGAAACGACAAAGAGCAGCGAAAAGGACATCTTTAGAGACTGAGGACCAGTGGTGAAATCTGTTAACTCACGAAAAGCCTCTCTAGATGGTCAACACAAGTGGGTGGAAATTAGCTAAACCGCAAATCCCCCCGAATCCCGTGGCCGAGATCCCCCCCACCGTGGCCGAATTGCGCCGCCCAAATAACGCTATGTAATGCAGTGCGTGCAGAAGAGGGAGCTTAATGTTTCAAGGTAAAAGGGCGATCTAAAAAAATTGTCTAACCTCAGCATGTCCTGTCCGAAGCAAAGCGTTAATCAGACCGAGAATCGCGATCCGTGTCCGATCAGTTTCCTTTTCTGATGGATAGCTGAAACAAGTTTTTCAACCAAAAACACTAAGAAGAGCAAGGAGGTTGCTTTGAAGGGGGCATTTTGCTAGTTTGCCATTTTGCTAGTTCAGATACCTATGAACAGAGCCTAACAGAGCCATGCATGCAGGTCTCTAAGAGCGCCCCGGTAAAGTTTGCTCCATTACAAAAGTTTGCAGGTCCAAGGTGAGGAAAGTGAAGAAACATGCCAAATAACGAGATTCTCCTTTGGGAAGAAATACTTCGAGAAGGTTATCACAAGAATGCTGAGTTGTGGGCAAAAGTCGTGCCCCAGGCGGGAGTCGAACCCGCACCTCACGCTTTCCGGGCGAGTGCGCTATCCGTTACGCCACCAGGGCCGCTTTTACCCTCTCAGCTTAACGGCTTATGCCGTAACCTTACAGCACTCACACGTTTAACTTGGTGAGCCGGTCAGCCGTAATCGTTAGATATCGGCATGGATTTTCGACTCCCGCCTGGGGCACGACTTTTGCCCACAACTCAGCATTCTTGTGATAACATTCGGAACGCGTACTGCGGCGTTAAACAGCAGTTATCATAACAAAAAACAAATTCGAGAAGGCTCGTAGTCGCGCCGATACGCAGAGAGCAGCGGAAACTCCTAGCTGGTTGAATTAGTAAAGAAGCAGCGCCACGTTGAACCACTTCCGTCCTGGTGCAAATGCCGCAGGCGTGAAAACGCTCACAGTCCTGGACTAGAATCCTAGGGGAACTAACTGCCACGGTCCTTTAACCTGCAACGACATCCTCTCCTCATCAGGGGTCCGCCTGGCTTCCATCCCCTCTCTTGAACACAATCTTACCTTCTGTGGAGTTCACTGACGAGTGTTTGGAAACGAGTTCGCTCTCCGAGCACTGCGGACACCTGTTAAATACATCAGCTTCGAATTGGCTAGCTCGTCAAGGATATATTGTAATGTCTAAGAAGAAAAACCTGTGTGAGAGCTGTGAGCACTTTGGAATGACCGTCTTCTGGCACGAAGCAGAGACCGGAGAGAATTTCCACGGCGACAATCTGAACAAACAATATTGGTTTCAAACGTACTAGGCAAGGGAGGTCTTTCAGGTCGTGGCGCGCTTTTTGAAAATGGTTTGTTGCTTGTTGTAGGGGTCCATACAAGGATCACAAAAATGGGTTTCATTTTTGCTATGCGTTTCTGGGTAGGTCAAAAACTGAGTGAAAAGAATTTGACAAGAATGGGCGATTTTAACTATCTTAGTTGGCTCCGTTTTTCATTGTAACTTCGAGCATGCATAGTTTATGAGGTGCTCGTTAATAGGCTTCAAAAATATTTTCAAATAAAGTATCGCATCGTCGTCTCATCCAGAATCCATCGAGTTATCCGCTGCGCCGTCCGATCCGCCGACAGTGAGCATGAGGGGACCGCTGACAAAAACATCACTGTTGCGTCAGTGCATGCGAAGTGTGTTACTACATGATATTTAAATTTTGACTTTATTTGAAATTATTTTCGAAGCCTAATTAAAGAACACCTCATAAACTGTGCATGCTCGGAGTTACAATCAGAACTGAGCCTATTAAGATAGTTGAAATCGCCCATTCTTGTCAAAATTTTTCACTCAATTTTTGACCTCCCCAGAAACGCATAGCAAAAATGAAAACCCATTTTTAAGATCCTTCCATGGACCTCTACAACAAGCAACAAACCATTTCCAAAAAACCGCCCGACCTGAAAGAACCTCCTTGTAAGACGCTCAATGTTCTTATGAAGCACAGGAGACAGGAGCCTATGTAAATGGTAGGCCAATTTGCGGCAAGTAAGAATCAGATTTCGAAAAAACTGGTTGCAAGTATGATCTATAAATTAGTTGCTGCGTACGATTGGGCGTGTCAGGCGGTATAAGTTTAGCGCGGTGCCAAACCCGTTCTCCACCAGTTGTTGAATCGAACAAATGATATGACTCTATCACTCCGTTCGTATTACTCGTTTTCTACCACTTTTATCGCATGCGCGCTTCAACAAGAAGGCAGAGAACGGCTTTGATGGGGTGACACACCCATACTGACTGACACGCCCAACCTTCTGCAGCGATACATTTATTGCATCCAGACCCTTTTACTTTACTTTGCAAGCGCTGCCTGGTGAATAAATTGCAGCTTAAAGTATCGGCTCTGGAAGAAATTTCGGGTTCGGCTTGGTGAAGGCACCGAAATGGTACTCAGCTAAGGTAAGCTTGTACCGGCCACCTTGTGAAGACCTGTGAATTCCTACGTACAAGGCGGCTCACTCCCACTATTTCGCTGCTTCAGAGGAGTTTACATGTGTTTTATTTACCACGAGCTATGCGGTGTGGATAACCGCCTCCAAGCCAAAACAGCCAAAATTCGTTTGCAGTGATGTACACGAGATCAATAAGCCTCACACTTCAGAGTCAAAGGGCGGCTAGCTTGATAGGTAAACAGCGCGAAGCTTCTCTTCTAGCCAGGTAGCGGCCAGGCTTTGAGGAAAGACATAAGGAATCTCTAAATTTTGGGGAGCGATTTTTACTGCAGTTCCAACCACATAAGCGATTCCTGGGCATGAACTATTTTTCCAACCTCTCTGAAGAATCACATCGTGTAAGAGAGAATGCTGAGTTGTGTGGCAATCGAGAAACGTGCGCCCATTCGGTGCGCGCTACAAAGCGACCCAATTTACGCAGTACTCTCTTGCTCATTTACTAATGATTCCATAAAGACTCCACCTGTGAAACTTCTTTTCCGCTGCTCACCTACTTGACTTTCCAGAATGATATTGAGCCTGCTATAAATTATACGTGAATAATAGCCCCCACCCCATTGAATGCGTCTCCGGAAAACTCCAACAAAACTCACTTTACACTTGGAATCGCGTAAGTCCACTGCTCTCGCAATCACCAGCAATGCTTCGTCATTCTGTAGGGCAGGGCAAGCACGTCCCTTTCTGAAAGATATCAGCTAGGAGAAGAATATTCAATTCAAATCTCCTGATTGCTGAAGAGGCTCGAAAAACTTTCACGATAGAGGGCTATCTACCATTTTGGCGTTCTAATATGGTAGGCAGGCGTTCAACACTCGCGTGACAGCGCGTCCAGGGGCGCCGTTGAAAATTGTAGGGCGTCGACGGTGGCATCGCAAAGCCCGAAACGGATGCTTAGGCGTTGTGCTATACACTTACATGTTCGTCTACCGTGCTAAGCTGTACGAGCTGGCTTTAGGCTTTGTTTTGCCAAAAGCGGGGTGTTTTTTCCTCGACTTTTTCTGTCTTCCGGACATGGCGTTCTTCAGTAAAAATGTTGTGGTCACATAAAGCAATGCACTCACATCTCCGCTGATAGTATACCCACATTTTGGACGGCAAAAAAGGGACGATGGTGATTATTCTCTGCTGCACTACTGCATTATGCCTGCGTTCCTTTCACTATGCCTCCCCGTTCTTTTCCCTTGAGTTGCTCTCGCAGCTCAACCCCTTGCTGCCCTCTGGTATGGACCGCATGTAAACAATCCCTAGGCCTGCGCTTAAAAACATATTCCACGTCAATCTGATGAGCGAAGACTCGCAACTACTGTGCTTCCTTCCTTCGGGTTCTCCTTCTTCTATAGTTGATGACGGCGCAAACAGTCGGGAGGGGGGGGGGGGGAGAGCGAGCGATGAGCGTCTCCGGTTCTCGATGACTTGCTAATGTGATCGCATTGTTGGTGAATCGTTTTGAGAGCAAAAAAACCAGTGGTGGAAACACAGCGCGTGGTCCACCTCTCCTAAAACGCCCCGACATCAACTGTGGTACGGTGAAGATGGGCAGCACACCCAAAAGGGAAGACAATGTTTATAAGTTCGCGCTCATCCGATTGTTATGGAATGCGTCCTGAGGCGCCGTTATCGTGCCGGAGCCCTTCTGCGCTTGCGTATTATAGTGTAGGGTCAGCGAATCGACAATTTCCTTTAAAGGCACGGTCCGCGATAAAAAGCCTAGGTAATTTTGCAGAAATGTGGATGAGAATTTGTCAAGTGAACCATCTATGAAGAGAAAATGCCAAAGAAACGTTGGAAACGCATTCGTCATACCTCCTCTAGCCTCAAACAACTGTAGAGGTGAAAGACCGAAAAGACCGCGCGCTGGGACAAGTCCCGTCGGCTAAGTCCGGGCAGTACCTAATGGACTCTACAAGAGACATTGAATGCATCCACGCCATGATACTTGCCCGAGAGCATTACTTTTGGCTGGTAGGCCGACTTTGGAGGTGGAGTCTGGAGGCGGAGTTACTGGAAAGGGAATGTACCACTATCACAAGCAACTTTGCACGCCAGTTCCTTTGCCGTATCAACTCCCCCGCAAAAACTGGCAGCAAGAGTTCTCGCATTCCCGAGACCGCCACTACTTCCCACATAACCTCTTGCACTTTCATAGGTCATCGCGGACCGTTCCTTTAAGCGGAGGAGAAGGGCGAGTTTTCGCCAGGAAGATGGCATCATTCTTGAAAAATAACTTGACGTTCGATGAATAAACAACAACTAGATTTGAAGTTTTGGAGGCGAGAGACTTGAGGGATTTATGGCCGAAGGACGGCCAAGCAGATACCGGTAGGCTGCATGCCACGGTAATCTGTGCACGCTTTCGCTAGTAATATGCTCCAACACCAGTTACCCAGTCTCTCCGAAAACAGTATGAGGTGAGCAGGACGAGGGAAATACACCATTCATGGATTACTGAAGGGATTTAATTCGCATAGAATCCGAACAGCCGCGAAATTAATCTCTACCGCCCAAAAAAATCGAATGAAGGTTGTTATTTGTCGACATTGTTACCAAATTGCGCCCTCAGTGCCATTGCTCAGCTGAAAGCGGATAGAAGTTATCCAAAGTATTCTGTGAGTAGAAATTCGTGCGCATCCATTGCAAAGATTTTTCAACAGCCAAAATTGTGCTTCATGTTGAAAAAGAGACACACTCGAATTCGAGCGCTTCCAGCGCTTTTAGCAGACCCTGCGGTACTAATTTCAGGTGTGACAAGACATCGTAATTTGCCGCGCTGGGCGAGGCAAGCGTCGCCGCGCGCACGTGAGAGACGAGTTGTCCTGCACGTCTCAGTCTCTATGGCCGCTAGAATGTAAATGTTGAATAGACGAGGAAGATCGATATCTTTCTTCATGGAGTCTAGCCTCCACTTCAATTCACACGAGTTTCCCTGCAACAAACGAAAAACTGATGCACATCGAAAAGGGTACCAACGCACGATGCGCCGCGCGCGACGGCGCGGCGAGTTGCGATACTCTTGCCTATCTCCCAACAATTTGTAGCTACTCGATGAGGTAGATAACTCTTACATGTCAATCTGCGGGCTTGCTCCTCAGAGCGACTTGTTGTAGAAATCAGCCCGTCCAAAATAAAGGAGGTGCAGGGGTAAACCAGTGTACACAACGTTGTTCAAGATCCATCAGTCGTATTGGGCTGTTGGTTGGAGGGGACTGCATTTGGCTGAACAGGGAACGTGAATAGGTCAGGCCCGACCATTTGCAATGGGGCCTACATCGTTGTAAGCGTCGCAGTTGGCACGATGGTTTCCTACTTGGCCTGTTATTAGGGCGCTAGGGGGAAAGTGCGAAAGAACGGAATGAACGGTCAAAAATTCTGGCGAAGAAAAAGCCTTTTTTCCTCAAGGGCTTTTGCAAATTCGACTTCGGACGAGTTTCCATAGGCATCTTGCCAAATGCACGCTACCAGAAGTACGGTTGCATATGTGTAAGTCGGCTATGATGCCATGCAGCATCACAGCCGCTTCATACCAATCCCTTCGCTTCATAATTTGCTTAGCAAATGAATGAATACGAGCGTCAGGAACGGTCGTCCATTTGTGGGCGGGCGGGCGTGGCGGCATTTGGGTCGAATCGTTTGTGGCTCATAGGTCTCCTTATATAAGGGCTACCTTTAAATCGGGAACCGCTATGCAGTGCCTGCCCAGGGTCGCGGAATTCTATCCTGCCAGGTGTATTGATCCTAGTCGTCTTGAGGGTTTATCGTGCCAACTGCCTTTAAGACGTTGAACTCAAATCTACCTTCCGAAATTTGCTAAACAGCTTTCTGAACAGGATAACTAACCTAACCCAATTCTTTTCAAAGTTGAGACAAAACCTCAGATCTTTCTAGATTGCCAGGGGTCGTTTGACTCCTTGGAATACGAAATATTACTGAATCGTTTTGCTCAAAGTTGTATTATTTCCGCGCACGCGGTAGCAGGTAATGGCGCCATCGGCGGCCATACAGGTGACGGCCCTTGGCCGCTAGAGCGCCTTCAAAGAAGAACCGTGAGAAAAACGTAATAACTCTCATTTCTGAGAGCCGTTTCGCAAATTTTGAAGGTGGATATGAGCTCATCGTCTCGAGGCGCGTATAACGATGTGCCTCATTGCAAATGGCAGGTCTGCCCTTGTCTTATGAGGAAAAGTCTGCTTCCAACGGTTGATTTTTCCATTTTTGCCTGCCATATAAGTCCCTTCAGTTGATGGCACGTCAAAAGTGCTATTTCTGACAGCAGATTGATTATTGTCCACCCCTCCCTCGACTCCCACTCTCCGGCGAAATTTCAGGAAAATTTGCTAAGATGCTATTTTCGTTGTGAAGGAGGACCAATACATTTCATCCGTCTTGATGATGTACCCTGCCATTTCTTCCATCTACGTACTCTGGTAGGAATAAACCGTGAAATTGAGGCGTAGTTGCGTGAGTACAACAGAATAATGGCACGTGGAAATTCGCGGCGCTAAGCGAGTGTCTTAGACGGCTACAGAGCACCTCACCAAGTTATATTTTCTTTACTATTTCAGGTTCAGTAACACTTCAAAAGATGAGAGCGGCTTTCTAGAAGTGCGGCTCATCTTTTTTTCAGAAATGAGTACCAAGTAAACCCAAAAGAAGAATTTGAGAATTGAGTGTTCTTTCCAATTTTCAACTTTCTATACCGGTACTCGGGTAAAAGGACTAGATCAGATAACATCAGGACAGAACGTTGTTGGGTTTCCCCAAGGGGTCATATTTGGCCGCTGGGAGAGGGAGGGGAGTTGATGTTCGTTGTTGGGAGGGAGGGGGTCGTATTTCCCTTTGACCTTCTGAAGACGGTTGCTTGACTTTTCGTGATTTTTCCTGTTTCATATATACTATATACTCCCCCCACCACCTCGACAGCTCGATGAGGTGGGGAACCAGGGGGTCGCAGAGGACACACAATCATCGTTTTCTCCATGATAGTAATAGCTTGAACTCAAGCGTGAAATGTGGGCTAGAACTCGAGCCCTCGCTGCTCTAGTAATGATGGGGAGGGTAAAAGTGCGGTGCACCGATGTGATTTATGGAAAGGCATTTCAAGCCGTTTTCCGGCATAACACACCTAGAACTGCAGCAATATGTACAAGTGGTTTGAGTGACGCCCTACCCAAGGTAAGAAGTTAGAGCTCTCGGCTTTGATCAATCCCTTCTTGAGTTGCGTCATGCGCCCTATTTCGATAGGTATTATAGGGGCTTTTGGGTGCGACTAAGACTATACAATGACTTGGGGGACAGTCGACACACAAGTCATTGTTTCTGTTCTCCCACCCGGATAGGTTT